TCTTTCTTTCTTTCTTTCTTTCTTTCTTTCTTTCTTTCTTTCTTTCTAATTCAGATGGGATTCATTGGATTTTAAGACCTGTACTTCTCAATGTTAGGGAAACTAGATGGTGCAGTGCATAGAGTTCTGGGCCTGGAGGTAGGAAGACTCATCTTCTTGAGTTCAAATCTGGCCGCAGCCACTCACTAGCTACGCGTTCTTGAGCAAGTCACTTAACTCTTTGCCTCAGTGGCTTCATCTGTAAAATGACCTGGAGAAGGAAATGACAAACCACTCCAATATCCTTGCCAAAAAAACTCCAAATGGGGTCATGAAGAGTGGGACACAATTGAAAAATGACTGAACAACTTCTCAATGGACATTAAAGTAGATTATATATTGAAGAGGAGGGCTGGTGTATAGACAGAGAAAGAAATGAAAGTGTCTATCATTAAGAGCCTGCCTATTCACCAGCCACTAATCTCATCCCACCCTTTGCAGGCTTTTTCTATTGCTGGCTCAAGGGAATCTGGGAATCTCATTTGCCTTGATTCCAGGGAATCATTTGGCAAAGTGCCTCCCACAATTCTGGCAAGGCAGGGGAAAAATTGAATGGGCAGAGAGGTCAGGTATGACCAAACCAGTGTGAGCAGACCATGAGAGATGGTCTAGCCATCTAGGTGGACAGGATTGTAGTGAAGACAGGAATGAGTGGACAGGAATATAGTGAAGAAGGGAATAAGATCTGGGCAGGTTAGGAGATCCCAGATTTTGGGGGGCCTTGAATGCAAGGAAAAGGAGTCAAGAATATATTTGACATGCAAGCCACTGGGAGCCAAGAAATAAAAGAAGGTAGAAAGATTATCAACATAAGAGATCCATTATGAAAGAGGTTTTGCTAACAAGTGATGAAGTAGAGATTGATATATGTCCCCACTCTGTAATCGACATCATTGCTTCTACACCTCCCTCCAAGAGACAGGAATCCTGACTGAAGAATCGAGGCTAGGAGCAGCTCTCAACAGGATCGCTGTGAACTGTACTTTCCTCCTGCTATGGAGGTTTGAAGACATTCAATGATCCTGTACCCTTCCTGGGTATCTATGTCTTCCCTTCGGACACAAATGTTCCTTTGTGTAAGGTTATAATATGTCTGAAACAAAAACTTCCTGACAAATCCACTTCTTTCTTCTGGAAAGCCTCTCTTAAGTCCCAGCAATGGATGAATTCGTTGGGTGAACGAATCGTAACCATAACTTCAAATATCAGAAACAAGGTCATATGGAAAGGAAGGTGGAGGAAGAGGGATGTTAGGATGGGTGCTCTGGTATAGGCTGGAGTGAGCTCCCATGCTCCTGGAACCATAGGTGAAAGAAGGCACAAACAGCCTGGGCATGGAGCAGATTTTAGTGATGAGGTTGTAGCAGACATTTATGGATCAGAAGGGAGGGGGTCTTGAATCAGAGAGGCTTTTTGGACTTGGGGAAATAGGCCTAAACTTGGACTTAGAACATGTGGGCTCACCACTCACTGAGTGGCCAGGGAGAGCTCGTGACTTGTCTTTGAGCTTCAGATTTCTCATCTGCCAAATGGAGATAATTACATCCACTGCTTTACTGTGACAAACTGTGACAACAACACAATAAGAGCCAGCATTTATTTATTTTTTAACTCAAAAGTTTATTTTTGTAAATAGTACTTTATTTTTTTCCCAATTACACGTAGAGATAGTTTTCAACATTCATTTTTTTAATAAGATTTTGAGTTCCAAATTTTTCTCCCTTCCTCCTTTCCCTCCAAGATCGGCAAACAATCTGATATGGATTATGCATGTGCAATCATATGAAACGTATTTCCATATTAGTCGTGTCGGGACAGAAGACTCAGAACAAAAGGGAAGAACCATGAAAAACAAACGAACAAAAACAGAGCAAATAGCATGCTTCCATCTGCATTCAGTCTCCATAGTTCTTTCTCTGGATGTGGGTAGCATTTTCCGTCATGAGTCTTTTGGAATTGATTTGGATCATTGCATTGCTGAGAAGAGCTACGTCGATCATAGCTGATCATTGCACATTGTTAATAGCCAGAATTTATAAAGTGCATGTAAATATGTGTATATGTGTGTATATATACACACACACTACTTATATAACACGTGTTTATAGGTATGTGTTTATTTATCTATATCTATGTAGTTTACAAAGCACTTTCAAACATATCTCATTTTATATTCCTAACAGCCCTTTGAAGTTGGCGCTGTTATTTTTTACAGATAGAGGAACTGAGGCTAAGAGAAAGTGTTACATGAATTACCCAGGCTCCCACAGCCGATAAAGGTCTGAAGGAGGTTTTGAACTCAGGTCTTTGTGACTCACAGCACTCTACCCACTGAACCACCTAGTAGTAGGTAAAAAAAAGTGCTTTGGAACACATAAGGTAGGTCAGAGCTGAGAACTGTTAGTCTTCAGGAATTTCATAACTTTCTGGACCTTTGTTATTTGGGAAATACACTTTACCTTTTCACTTTGTTTAATAGTAGAGTCTCCGGACACCCATTTATGGCATGAGTGTGAAGGGAAGCTAGGGAGGAGAGGACCTGGTGATTCAGCATGGAGAGAAGACAGGGTGGAGAGCAGGAAGCAGGTGCTGCTTGGCCTGTGGAAGGGGACAGAAGGCTTCCTACAGTGAGTGAGCTCTGAACCTCAGCTTGGTTTGGGTCCAGTTCCCTTAAGCTGTCCAGAGTTGACTGATCTCTTTTCCACAACACCTGCTGGTCAACTTGATGTCCATATAATCCTTAGATCTCAAGATGTGCCTCCTGTCTGTCCAGCCCTGCTGCTCTAGGCAGAGATCCTCTGGCTTCTTCTCAACTCCTCAGGCTGTTCCAGTCACTGCCCAAAAGTATACCAATGCAAACGAGGACCAGCCCAACCAGGCTGATGCGAAAGAGATTGTGCACAGTATAACCTGGTTGGGTCGAGTCTGAGGGAGAAGAGGAAATGAGGCTGTCACTGACAAAAGAATATTTCCAGGAGCCCTAGAAACAGGAGGTCACCCATCTCCCAGCAGGCTCCTTGGAACCTGTCCCCACCCTGGTCTAAAACATGACTTCATCAAGAACAGGTCATCCTAGGGGCAGCTAGGTGGTGCAGTGGATAGAGCACCGGCCGTGGATTCAGGAGGACTTGAGTTCAAATCTGGCCTCAAACACATAACACTTACTAGCTGTGTGACTCTGGACAAGTCACATAACCCCGAATGCCTCACCAAAAAGGCAAAAAAAAAAAAAAAAAGGACAGGTCATCCCAGACTAAACATAATTCCTCCTTAGACAGTTACTCAGCAGTTAGGAGTCCTCCTCTTGGGGACTCTTTGAACACTGAAATTCTGTGAGTGTGTGTTTGTGACCCTCTAAGCTTCACATCCTTACTAGGTCTACAAGGCTCTGTCATTCGCTTGGCCTGATGCTGAGCTCCTCTCTGCTGAGGGAGTTCAGCTCTTCAGGGCCATTTCTGGCTCTTTACTCACATCCACTAAGCTGTCTTGGCCAGAAAGTCTCTAGCTGACAAGGACAGGCTGATCAGTTCGGACTTCTTTCCACATAGCTATGAGCCACATTTTACCTTGAACAGTCCAGAGAAGACAGGGAACATGCTACATGTAGGCTAAGTCTAGTTTGTTTGTCTGTTTTTTTTTTTTTTTTTTTTTTTTTTTTTTTGGTGAGGTGATCAGGGTTAAGTGGCTTGCCCAGGGTCACATAGCTAATAATTGTTAAGTGCCTGAGGTGGGATTTGAACTCAGGTCCTCCTGACTCCAAGGCTGGAGCTCTATCCACTGTTCCATTTAGCTGCCCTTGTTTGTCTGGTTTTTGACTTCTATACCTCTTAATAATTCAGAATTCATAGTCCCAGTTTACTTTGATTTAGGAATATAAAATTTTATAGAAAATAAAATATAGAAAAATAGAAATTTTATAGAGATATAAAAATAGGAAAAATGGAAAAATTATAGAAATAGAAAAATAGAAAATTTTTAGTTATAGGAATAGAAAAAAATCTATACCACCTGGGGTAATCAAATGTCCTTTGTTTCTGCTCACCACCCTCATGACTTTCCAAACCAAATCACTTTTCTCTAGTTAACACTGATAACTCTCTATTGCCCCAGTCATTAGCATGTAAGCTCCTCGGGAGCATAAACTGTCTTGCCTTTGAATGGCTACTCCAGACATTTGGCACAGAGCCTGACACATAGTAAACACTTAATAAGTCCATCCATCTCTTCATCCATCCACTCATTAACTTGGGTATTAACTCCCTGTGGGTTTTTTTTTTTTTTTGCATTTATCATTTCCACTGAGAATGTCATTCTCCTTGGCTGAGAAAATTGCAACAATGAGAGATGGGCAGTCTTCCTTTTTTTCTATCAGTTGTCTTCATTCTCTCCACTCTGTGCATCTTTAGGGCTTTTTTTCATCCTCCACTTTTCCCATCAGAGTAACACCACTCACGCATACGTTTCTGTTGTACCTCACTGTCCTCACATTCTGAGCATTACCATTCTTGCCACTATTCTAACTGTAAGTACTATGTTACAGCTTTGCAGTCATCCTGTGATCTGCCCTTGCTTTGATCTTCTGTCCAAACTGTGTGTCCTTTCCCATCTCAGCCTCCAGTGAGAACTTAGCGTGTGATGAGGCCATTGAGGTCCTGAGCCCAATCCTGACCCAGCGATGACTTATTTTAGTTTCCCCAACAATCACGTAGTAGAGACCGGAATGCTGACCTCAAGTAGTGAAATTACTAACTTATTCCTAGGTAGGCTGAAACCCCATTGGTGACTTCCTGCCCAAGTCTCCATACCTTCAGGAGTCTGAAGACTGGAGCAGATAAAAGTGATAGCCCGTCCACATCGTTATTTAAAACCTGGGCTCCTATTTCTCACTTAACTTCTATGGAAAGATTCCAGCTGTATTATCTGCAGAACCACTTCAAGACTCACCCTCCCGAGTTCAAATCTGGCCTCAGTTACATATTAGCTGTGTGACCCTGGGCAAGTCACATAACCCTGTTTGCCTCAGTTTCCTCATCTGTAAAATGAGCTGGAGATGGCAATGGAAAACCACTCCAGGATTTTTGCCAAGAAAATGTCAAATGAGGACATGAAGAGTCAGATATGACTGAAATGACTGAACAACAACAAATTTGTCTCCCTAACTCTAATTTTTCATCACTCTTGTCTGTCTTACACATTGATTCCAAAGGATTTCTCTTAAATCACAGATCTGACCACATGACTCCTTAACTTAATCAACTCTAGTGTATTTCTTTTGCCTTTAAAATCAAATATGAAGTCCTCTGTTAAGCTTCTAAAGTCCTTAACAATGGCTTAGAGGGAATCTTTCTGCCCTCACTGGACATTCATTGCTCCACTGCCTACAATCTGAGAGCCATCCAAACTGGCCTTCTCTCTCTAGTCTTTCCATGTGACACTCTTCCTCCTATCTTGGTATTTTTCCATTGGATGATCCCTCTAGCAGGAATTCATCCTCCTCTTACCTTGCTTTTGTTAGGCATGAGAATGAACCTCTAAATCTGAAATTTTAAAAAATAATTTTATTATGTTACTTGGCAAAAAACAGTGCTAGAAGTAGGTGTGGCTCCTGTCAAGTCTCTGAGGGGTTTACATTACACAGAGGTAATTAGCAGGTAAGTAGAAGCATTTTAATTTGGGGAAAAGCTTTGGGTGGGCCCAGAACAAGATCTGGGTGAGTTCTAAAGACTGTCTGTAGCCATCCTGTTTCCCCCATGACCTCTGAGGTTAGCTTGACCTTTACTGTAAATTTTTGGGTTACATGATTTCTAGTCATATAATGCTAGCTTCAAACACGATAATTAATACTTTCTGAACAATAAAAAATAAAACATTTCCCTACATTCTCATACTATCTCTACCTTCATTTAAGCCACAGATCATCTTCAAATAGCCTTTCCTGATCCTTCCCAATGTCTAGTGCTCTCCCTCTCAAACTGTCTTGATAATGACTTTCCATTAATTCGCATTTATTCATTTTGTATTCGTAATGTACATGTTTCTGCATTTACAACAGAATGTGAGTTCCTTGCATTTAGGGATTGCTCTATTTTTTGTGTTTGTATCCCCAGTGCCTAGTACAGTGCCTGGCACATAGTAAGTGCTTAATAAATATTTGTTGATTGATTCTTGGGGACTCAGTTTACTCTTCTGTAAAATGAGGCTAAAGAGACTTTTGGTGCCAAGATGACAGAGAAGGATAAACAAGGGACAAATAGGATGGAGGGAAATACACAGTTAGGTATCATAACTGTAAATGTGAATGGGATAAACTAACCCATAAAACAGAAGAGGATAAAAGAGTGGATTAAAATCAGAATCCTACAATATGCTATTTACAGGAAACACATTTGCCACGAAGACAGATACTGAGTAATGGTAAGGGGCTGGAGCAGAATCTATTATGTTTCAGTTGAATTAAAAAAAGCAGGTGTGGCAATCATAATCTCAGATAAAGCCGCAGGAAAAAAAATAGATAAGGAAGAGATAAAAAGGAATAATAGATAAGGAAGAGAAAAAAAAAGAGATAAGGAAGGAAACTATATTTTGCTAAAAGGTACCCCAGATAATGAAGTAATAGCTATGCATATATGCACCAAATGGTATAATATTTAAATTTTTAAAGGAGAAGCTAATTGAGTTACAGGAGGAAAGAGACAGCAAAACTTTTCTAGTGGGGGGACCCCAACTTTCTCCTCTCAGAACTAGATAAATCTAACCATAAAATAAACAAGAAAGAAGTTAAGGAGGTAAACAGAATTTCAGAAAAGTTAGATATGATAAAACTCTAGAGAAAACTGAATGGGAATAGAAAGCAATATATCTTTTTATCAGTGGTACATGGCACCTACACAGAAATTGGCCATGTATTAGGGGGCATACAAACCTCACAGTCAAATGCAGAAATATTAAATGTATCCTTTTTCAGATGATAATGCAATAAAATAACATTAGATAATGGGCAGTGGACGGATGGCTTAAAAATTAATTGGAAACTAAATAATCTAATCCTGAAGTGGGTCAAAGAACAAATCATAGAAACAATCAATAATTTTAACAGCAATGAGACAACACAGCGAGCTTTATGGGATACAGTCAAAGTCATGCTTAGGGGAAAATTTAAATCTCTAAATGCTTACATCAATAAAATAGAGAAAGAGTAAATCAACACATTGGGCATGCAACTAAAAGAAAACTAGAAAAAAAAACCAAATTAAAAATAATTAAACACCAAATTGGAAATCCTGAAAATCAAAGGAGAGATTAATAAAATTGAAAGCAAGAAAACTATTGAACTAATAAATAAAACTAGAAGCTGGTTTTTAGAAGAATTCCAATAAAATAGATAAACCATTGGTTAATTTGATTTAAAAAATGAAAGAAGAAAACCAAATTTCTAGTATAAAAAATGAAAGGGGGTGAATTTGCCACCAATGAAGAGGAAATTAAAGCAATTATTAGGAGCTATTTTGTCAAGTTTATGTGACAATAAATCTGACAGTCTAAGTAAAATGGATGAATATTTACAAAAATGTAATTGGCCAGATTAACAGAAGAGGAAATAGAATACTTAAACAATCCCATCTTAAAAAATGAAATTGAACAAGCCATCAGTTAACTCCCTAAGAAAAAATCCCCAGGGCCAGATGAACTCACAAGTGAATTCTACCAAACATTTAAAGAAGAATTAATTCTGATATTATATTAACTATCTGGAAAAGCAGGCATAAATTAGTCCTATCAAATTCCTTTTGCAACACAAATATGGTGCTAATGCCTAAACCACGAAGAGCAAAACCAGAGAAAGAAAATTATAGACCAATTTCACTAATGAATATTGATGCAAAAATTTTAAATAAAATACGAGCTAGGAAATTACAGAAACATATCACACTATGACCAGATGGGATTTATACCAGATTGGTTCAATATTAAGAAAACTATCAGCATAATTGACCATATCAATAACAAAACCCACAAAAATCATATGATTATCTCAATAGATGTAGAAAAAGCTCTTGACAAAATACAATACTCGTTCCTATCATTCCTATGAAAAATACTGGACAGCATGAGAATAAATAGAACTTTCCTTAAAATAACAAGTAGCTTCTATCTAAAACCATTAGCAAGCATTATCTACAATGGGGATAAGCTAGAAGCCTTCCCAATAAGATCAAGGGGGAAGCAAGCATGCCCATTACCACCACTATTATTCAATATTATACTAGAAATGCTAGTTTTAGCAATAAGAGAAGAAAAGTAAATTAAAGAATTAGAATAGGCAGTGAGGAACCAAAACTATCACTCTTTGAAGATATGATGGCATACTTAGATAATTCTAAGAATCAGCTAAAAAAGTAGTTGAAATAATTAACAACTCTACCAAAGTTGCCGAAAAGAAAACAACACAAATTATCAGCATTTCTATATTTTACTAATAAAGCCCAGCAGCAAGAGATAGAGAAATTCCATTTAAAATAACTGTAGATAATATAAAATACTTGGGAAGTCTACCTGCCAAGACAAACCCAGGAACTGTATGAACACAATTACAGTATACTTCTCACACAAACAAGTTCAGATCTAAACAATTGGAAAAATATTAGTTGTTCATGAGTAGGCTGAGACAATCAAAATGACAAAAAATGACAATTCTACCCAAATTAATCTACTTATTCAGTGCCATACCAATCAAACTATTTTATAGAGCTAGGAAAAATAATGCAAAATTCATCTGGAAGAACAAAAAGTCAAGAACATCAAGGGAATCAATGAAAATAAATGTGAAGGATGGTAGTCTAGCCACACCAGATCTCAAACTATATTATAAAGTGGCCAATAGAGTGGTGCATCAGAGGAATAGATTAGGCACATAATACATTGTAGTAAATGACAATGGCAATTTTGTGTTTGATGGATCCAAGATTTTGGGATGAAAAATCACTATGTGACAAAAACTGTTAGGAAAATGAAAGCAGTATGGCAGAAACTAGGTATAGATCAATATCTCACACCATATACCAAGATAAATTCAAAATGTGTACATGATTTATACACAAAGGGTGACACTATAAGCAAATTAGGAAAGAATGGAATAGTTTATGCATTAAATCTATGGGAAAGGGATGAATTTAGATAAACAAGATATAGAAAGCATTATAAAATGAAAAATAGATGATTTTAATTTTATAAAATTAAAAAGTTTTTGCAAAAACAAAACCAATTTAACCAAAATTAGAAGGAAAGCAAAAAACTGGGAAAAATTTACAGCAAGAATCTCTGATAACAGCCTCATTTTTCAAGTATATAGAGAACAGAGTCAAATTTATAAGAATACAGGTCATTCTCCAATTGATAAATGGTCAAAGATGGCAAAGATACTTCCCATATCCCCATTTCCTTTCTTTGATTACACATGCCATTCTAGCCCTTACCTTGATGCTCCCCCCACTCCTCTCACACTGAGGCTTGAGAGAATTAAAATTATTTTGTACAATTTAATAATTGATTCTATTCAGTAATTGACTATCACGCATTACTGACACATTTTGTCAAGCCACATTTCTCCATTCTTGAGTTAAGCTAAGGAATTCAGTTTTTTCTTTGTGTTAGTTTGAAGGTGTGGTTCAAAGAGGATGTAGCTCCTGGGATATCCCTTGCTTTCTACAAGCCCCAACCAGCTTAACCTGGTGCTGGTGCCTTCTCCCAAAAGATACATCTCAATCCTTGCCTGTCCTGCATTTGGAGATCTGATCTCCTGCTACCACATTGAAGCAGGTGGTACTGATTGCTAGCAAAGATTACATGAGACAGGTGAGTCCTATAAGAGAATTAACATTTCTTTTTTGTCAGGGAGGGGTGTGATTAGCCACACATGAATGGCAACCCACTTTTCTTAGTGTACTCAGTTGTAATGTTCCCAACTACTCAGACTCCCTTCCTTTTCCGCATGACAATAAAAAGAGCCCCACCCCTTCTTGTTGGGTTGCTAACCTTACTGAGGTGGTCAGTCTGACTGATTTGTTAATAGTTACACATATCACTGTTAGTCAATTGGTTTCGCTCAGCATATGTACTTCAGTTTACCTATTGAATTTACTCATGATAGGCCTGTCTAAATTCCCCACCTTTCTCTCAGACCTGACTCCTGAGTGCCCCCACCCTTAGGAAGTAATGCACCTCCCAGTCTTCCTCCCTTCTCTCACTCACCGGTCACCCAGATTTCCAGGGGATCACTGGGCTCTGATGCTTTGTGCTGAAGTATCATCGAATGGTAGTAAATGCAGCTGTAGTTCCCTGAATCCTGGGCCCTCACAGCCAGGATGGGGAAGGAAGCCTGGGTCCCCACTGGTCTCTGTTGCTGTATGGGATCAGGGACACCAGCCTTAAACAGTGCAAATGTCAACCCCCAGAGGGAGGACCAGGTTGGCTGCTGACACTGGAGTGTGACGTGCCACCCTGGGGCTATCACAGGACCTGGAAGGGCTGAGAGCAAGGGCTTGGGGAGAGAACCTGCGAGAGAAAGATGATGAAACTGAATCAGGACAGCTGGGTTCATGGCCCAGCCACGATGCTAACCAGCTGTGCTCCCTGGACGTATTCCTTCCCCTCCCAGGGCAACAGTTTTCTGATCTGTCCTTTTCTTCAGTTTCCTTTTGGTTCCATCAGGGATGATACGTGATGCTCTCTAAGGTCCCTTCCAACTAACCAATGATTCCAGAAGAAGGAGACTTTCATATTAAAGGAGGATCCCCCACCTTCCAGTCCCCATCTCCATGGAGGGATCCTATCCTCTTTCACTTTCCTTCCCTTGCCTCCTCCCCAGCCCCAGGCCATACCCAAGCCCATCCAGGATGACTGGCCAACAGGAAAACCCATTTCCTTTCTGAGCTCCCTTCCTCTCTTCCCCTGGCCTTCCTCCTTTACCCCCTCTTGGGGCAGCCCTAAACCCACATGAGCTTTACTGCTCATAGGACTTGGGTGAGATGGGAGTCACCAACGTAGTTCCTTAGGTGAGATGGAGGATGACTGGTCCTTGCTGCCCTTCAGTCCCCTGGCAGTGTTAACTTATTGACGTGCACTAGGGAGCCCTCTGCTGAGCCCTTAGTCCTTGCAGGCCATTCCAGCTGCCCCGGAGCTGACCTCTCTTTTCTGGGTTGTGCCCTCCATTCAACTGTAAGATCCTTGAGACCAGGCATTGTCTTGGTTCTCCATCTGTAGCCCCAGAGTTTAGCAGAGTGGCTACCACATAGGAAGTGCTTAACATAGGTTTTGTTTTCGCTTCTCCCCTTTCGACTGGGATCTTTGACTGTAGGAAGATCCACTTTGATCTCTGATCTGCCCCTTCATCTCTCACCTGGTCAATGGACTCCTGAGGCAGGTTCAGGACCTAGGCTAATGCCAAAGGTCACAACATGGTCTGGGTTCTAGCCCCACTTTCTGTATCACCTTGGGTAAATAACTTCCCCTAATCTGGACTCAGACTCCTTTATTGTTGGTGCAAGGGGCAGCCCCTTTCCAACTCTGATGCTTGCCAATTCTACTCCTGACTCACCTCTCCCCTCCATTCCTCTCCCTCCCAGCTTTGACTATAAAGGACTCATCTCCTCTGGGACCCCAGAGTTTCACTGGTTCTCAGAGGAAAGATGTCTTCAGGGCCACAGTTTCCTTTGGTCCGACAGGGCCCTTGTGCTGGAGAGAGGGACGTGTCTGACCTATAGGTACTCTTGGCCACTTCTCTTCTCACCTGTAACCAATAGCTCCAGGCCATCACTGGGCTTTGACATCATGCCGGGGGGTTCTGTCTCAGAGTAGGTGCATGTATAGCTCCCAGCATCCTCAGCCCTGATGGACAGGAGGGAAAATGCAGCCTGGATCTCTGCTGGGATCTGGTGTTGTAAGGGCTTTAGGGTCCCAGCCTTAAGCAAGGTAAATTTCACTTCCTGAAGGTCTGCCTGGGGAGGCCGCCAACACCAGAGGGTCACGTTCCCTCCTGGGGACACCATAGGACTTGGCCGGGCCAAGAGAGAGGGTTTGGGGAGATATCCTAGGAAAGAAGGAAGCACCAGAGATTAAAGGGGGAAGCCCCTGGCCCCATCCCTAGCCCTCAGTGGCACTCAGTGTAGTTCTGAGAAGAGGAGAAATAGAAGCAGCTCAGGGTCTGTCCTATCTCCCTGCCCCCACCCCTGGGTCCTGCAGGGGGCTGGGGAGAACCCTCTCTCCCTCTCTCCCTTTATTGGGGAGACCAGGTGAAAGCAGGCCTTGGGGGGTCCTGCAGCTTTCCAGGGTAGAGTCTCCTCCCAGGTGACCACTCGTCCCACCCCCCCATCTCTGTGGGGCACCTATAGAGTGGTCTTGGGTCTCGTCTCATCACCTGTCACCAACAGGTCCAGGATCTCACTGGGCTCCGACATCCTGTGGGGGGCATTGATTTCATAGTAAAGGCAGTTGTAACTCCCGGTGTTCTCAGCACTCACAGATGGCAGGGAGAAGTCAGCCTGAGTCCCCCCAAGACTTTGGCTTTGTACGGGCTCTGTGGTCCCCACTTTCATCAGAGCAAACCTCAGCCCCTGGAGGGAAGACTGGGCAGGCTGCCAGCACCGCAACGTCACATTCCACCCTGGCGCCACCATGGCTCTGGGCAAGGCACATAGCAATGGTTTGGGCAGGAACTCTTGGAGGGAAGGGAGATCGAGAATTAGAGGGGTAGAAGAGCAGAGATCTAGAGTTGGCTGGATCGTTAGACATAGCCTGGGCCAAGCCTCTCAAAGGATCATCGGCTCATAGACTTAAGACAGGAAGGAAGCTCAGAGGCCCCGGAGCCCAGACGTCTCATTTTACAGATGAGGAAACTGAAATAAAGAGTTAAGTGACTTGTCCAGGGTCACATAGTTACAGGTAGATAAGGCAGGGCTTGAACTCAATCCTTCCTGCTCCAAGTCCCACTTTCTATCCACTTCACCACTTTGGAGACTAAAAAAAGAAAAACAAAAAGAAAACTGAGCTTCGTAGAGCTTGTTCAAGGCCACAAGGTATTAATATATCAACAGATATTTAAGCACCTCCTATGTGCCTGGCCTTGGGCTAGGGTGCTGGGGATACAAAGAATGGAACAGTCTGCTTGAAAGGAGGGGACCTTCTAATATAGGAGACGAGTATAGACCATGACTATCCAGTGAGTAAACATTAATAGTAATCAATATTCATACAGAGTGTTAAGCTGTGAAAGCTTAAATGTGCACTAAGATTTTTGGGACACTGTGGTCCTCACCTTTTGGGAAATCCAGCAAGGTTTCATGCGAAAAATGGTGCTTGAACTGAGTCTTAAAGGGAAGCAGGGACCCCTGTGAGGCACAGGTCATGAGGAAGTGCAGTCCAGCCATGGGGGACGGCCAGGCCAAAGAGTTGGAGGTAGGAGATTGAATGTCATGGATCAATGTTTGGCTGCAACACAGAGCGTAGGCCAGGGAATGATGCCCAGTGGAGCTGAAGCGATTACCTGGGGCCAGGCTGTGCAGGGCATTAGCAGCTGGACAGAGGAATGTCTATTTTTCCCTAGAGACAAAGGGGAGCCAGCAATATTTGAGGAGCAACATGGTCAGAGCTGGATTTAAGAAACATTCACTTGGCAGCAGCGGTTAGGACGTGCTGAAGTGGGAAAGTGCTGAGGGAGGAAGGTCAGTGAGGAGAATGTTGATATAATCCAGGTGAGAAAGGCTGAGGGCCTGAAGCGAGGTGGTAAGCAGCTGCTGGAGTGGCAAGAAGAGGTCATATTATGGTAGAAGCAGTAGGACTTGGGGACTTATTGACATCTGGAGTGAGGGAGAGTGAGGAGGCCAAGAGAAGGCAGACCTTATGAACACAGGAGCCTGGAAGGATGATGGAGCCTTCAACATAAGGAATGACGTCTAGAAGAGAGTGTTTAGCAAAAAAGATACTGAGTTCCGTTTTGTTCTTTTTGAGTTTAAGATGTTTCTGGAACATTCCATCTGAAATGTCTAATAGGTAATTGGTGATGGGGGACTGAGGTTCTCTGTTTCTGTCTCCGTCTCTGTCTCTGTCTGTCTCTCTCTCTATATATTGATCTGGGAGTTGTTTGCATAGAGATAATAATCAAACTCATGGGAGGTAAAGAGATTATAGAGAGATGATGATGATGAAGGAAGAAGAGGAAAAAGAGAAGGGGGAGGAGCAGGAGATGCAGGAGAAGGAGAAGAAAGCCCAGGACTGAAGTGTAGAAAGCGCCCATAGTTAGAGGTCCATGATGGGTACGAGCCACTGAAGGGTGGGGGGAGTGATCAGACAGGCAGAAGGTTTCACAAAGACCCCAAAGAGGAGAGACCGCCCGGAAGAAGGTGATAGTATTCAAAGTGACATGCTTCAGAGATGTCAAAAGCCAAGGACTGAGAAAAGATCACTCATAAATTTGGACAGAACAGTTTCTGTTGCATGGTGAGCTGAAAGAGGTTGCAAAGGGCAGTAAATAACAGAGAAAAGATTAGCCCCCAGCACCTCCAAACCCCAATCCTAGGCTCTCTCTGACAGTCACCTTTCCTCCTACATGTACACTCCAACTCTGCACCATTCCCTCAAACAGAAGCAGGAGGCACAAGGTTGCTGAATGGTCCCCATGGCATCCATTTCATCTGCAATGTGTATGTGTGTGTGTGTGTGTGTAATGATGCTTGCTTGAGTCCACACAATAGTCAGCCATTAAACATTTTTTAATTGCCTACTATGTGCTATCTAGGTGGCCAGATAGAGTGCTCTGCCTGAAGTGAAGAAAACTCATCTTCCTGAGTTCAAATCTGGCCTCAGACACTTACTAGTTGTGTGACCTTGGACAAATCACTTTATCCAATTTGTCTCAGTTTCCTCATCTATAAAATGGGCTGGAAAAGGAAATGGCAAACCGCTGCAGTATCTTTGCCAAGAAAACCCCAAATGGGGTCACAAAGAGTGAGACACAATTGAAATGAACAACAAAAATGTGCCTGGCATTGTGCTAAGCACTGGGGATGCAAAAAGAGACAAAAATCAGTCCCTTCCCTCAAGCCCCTCGCACTCTAACGAGGGAGACAACAGCAGACAACTCTGTACAGACGAGCTCCGTACAGGATAAACAGGGAATGATGAACAGAGGGAAGGCTCTGGGATCGAGAATGGAAGGCTTCCTGTAGAAGGGAGCCAGGGCAGCCAGGAAGCAGAGATAAGGAGGGAGAGCATTCCAGTCCTGGAGCTGAGAGGTGGAGGGTCTTGTTCAAGGAAGAGGCTTCGGGAGAGCACTGCCATGGAAAGGAGGCAGTGGCTGGGGAGAGAAGGCAAGCCTCTCCCAGCCCCTCCCTCCCTCCACAAGCTGCTGAGCTCGGTCCCCGAAGCTCTTGGCCGTTGTCAGAGCATTGCTGTTGCTGCTGCTGCTGGTGTGAGTTCTCTGGCAATAGCCTTCCGACAGTCCTCCCAGCTCCACTGGGCTCCCAGCCCAAAGCACTGGTCTGACCTGTCACTCTCCTACTCCTTAAACTCCAGTGGCTCCCTATTACCCTGAGGAATGAAGATAATCTCCGCTGTGTGGTGTCTTCATAATCGTCCTCCTCTTTCTCTTTCCAGTCTTCCTCCACACTCTTCGCGCCCTCAGGCCCAGGCAGAGGGGTGTCCTTACTGGTTTGCCTGCTTCTGGCCATCCTCCCTGATGGGCACACACTTCCCTCCATCTCTCAGAATCCCTAGCTTTCTCCACAGCTCAGCTTCGGGGCCCCCTTGTACAAAGAGCTCCCTCCCTCCCTCCCTCCCTCCCTCAACTACCTTGAATTCATCTGGTATGTAATCGGTGCACTGATCTTTGCACACATTGTCTTCCCCATAGGAAAGTAACCTCTGGGAAGGCAGAGATCATTTCAGTTTGCTCTCTGTATTCCCAAAGGTTAGCACATTATCTGGTACATACGAAATGCTTAATAAATGCTTGTTGATTGGCTTATTGGACCTGGAAGGGAGGCATCTGGTCCAATTTCATGATGCTGAATGGTCAGAAGCCCACCTGGGGGCTTCTTGCCCTATTGGCAGCTGGGGGGTGCCAAAGTGCCCGGCGCCCTGGGTCTTGAGTTACCAAGACCTGAGTTAAAATCCAGCTTCTTATATCTCCTAGCTGTGTGACCCTGAGCAATTCACTTTACCTCTGTCTGCCTCATTTTTCTCATCTAGAAAATGAGGAGATTGGATAGTTTGAGCTCAAGAGTTCCTTCCATTTCCAGAGGGTCTGATCCTCTGACTCTCTCTCTCTCCTCTAGGATTGAAAAAGGGCAGGGAGAGCCTGGGAAAGACTGAAAAGGTTTCCTGACTCAGGAGACATACTCATGCAGCGATCCTGGAGATACGAGTTCCCCGAGTAGTCCTAAGAGAAATGAGACTCTCCCACCAAGGCTAGAATAGCTGGGGGACGTGTATCCCTTGGCATCCAGGAAGGGGTTAATGGCAGCAAATATCAAGGAATCCTGAATCAGAGCAAGGGGCCCTTGGGGAAAAAGGGCAATCAGGAGAGAGGTCAAGGGCCCTTCCTCCAACCCACCTCAGATATCAGCACTAGCTCCTTCAACGGTCCCCTGAACTCTGACTGGAAGGTGTTCTGCTCACACTGGCAACTAGACCTCCCTGAATTTTTGGGTCTCATAATCTTGAGTGGGAATATATCTTATTCTGGTCTCTGAACTTTTCTTTCTTCAAGAGCTAGAATTCTCAGTCTCCTGTGGCTCCCAGCATCAAGAGGTGGAGCTGGACACAGTCCAGAGAGAACGAGAGAGGCCGGGAAATGCTTTGGGAAGAGCCCAGATCCTAGAATGTGGGGAAGAATTGCTTTCAGTGTCTCTCTCCAGGGCAGGACCCAGAGACCTGTATTAAACGTCCTTCCTTCCTGACTGGCCAGAAGGAGGAGTGAAGGGGGGTGAAGAGTTGGAAAAAAGGACTCACCTGTCTTTGACTCCATCTTCTTGACCAGACATAGCCCTGTCAGAGAGACTCCGATTTTAGGTGGCTGCCCCCCACATCCTGTCAAGCACCTGTTCTCTCCTCATTTCCACTAAGTCATCTTTGGTCAGAAGAAGGAGGTGACAGGGCAAAGGAAATATAAGGGGCCCTCTCTATTCCCCAAAGCCCACTGCCCAGAGACCTTCTCACAATCTCCCTGCCTCTCCCAGACCATTCAAGGACTCACCAGAGCAGAGGAGGGCCATGAGTGCTGGAGACATGGCGAGCCCTCAGCAGGGTCTGAGGCTGCTTGGACTCTGATGTAGAGAGGAAACATGGGTCAGATCTGTATCCTGGATACAGGATGTGGTGGAAGGAGGTGTTGTCTCCACCCATCCAGGGCAAGGCCCTGTGCTTGACCATCTAAAATGCATGACACGTTGCAAATTTCCCTTCAAGCATTTTTTACTTTATTAGCCTCTGTAAACGTTTATTTAGCATACACTTGGTGCAAGGCAGGTCAGGCAGGAAGGTGTCCATTCAGCCCGGGGTTGTGCTACAGCAAGCTCAAACCAGCTTCTATTGTTAAATTTTCATTTTGAGCATTTACATCTTGAAATTGGTAAACACCAGAAATCATTGTTTTATTGTCTATACTAAAGAAAGCGATAGAGAAAATATTGATAATGTATGTTAAGCTGAAAAGTGTGTCCTGTGTGATTTTCTCCCTCCAGGAAGCTGATTGTTTTTTAAATAATATTTTATTTTTTCCAATTACATGTGAAGACAATTTTTAACATTCATTTTTTAAATAAAATTTTGAGTTTTGAATTTTCTCCCTCCCTTCCTTCCCTCCCCCCTCCCTAAGGCAGTAAGCAGTTTGATATAGGTTATACATGTTTAATCATGTAAAACCTATTTCCATATTAGTCATGTTGTGAAGGAAGAAACAGTTTCCAAAAAACAATTACAGTTTTCAAAAGGAAAAGAAAAGCATGAAAAAATAAAGTGAAAATTGTATGCTTTGATCTGCATTCAGAATTGATCCCTCCTTTCTCTGGATGTGGATAGCATTTTCCATCATGAGTCCTTTGTAATTTTCTTGGGTCACTGTATTTTTGAGAATAGCTAAGTCGTATCTAATTGATCATCATACAATATCGCCATCATTGTGTACAATGTCCTCCTGGTTCTGCTCACTTCACTCAGCATCAGTTCATGTAAGTCTTCCTAGGTTTTTCTGAAATTAGCCTGCTCGTTATTTCTTATAGAATAATAGTATTCCATCACAATCATATACCATAAATTGTTCAGCCATTCCTCAGTTGGTGGACATCCCTTTAATTTCTAATATTTTACCACCACAAATATTTTTGTACATGTAGGTCCTTTCCCCTCTTTCATGAGCTCCTTGGCATACAGACCTAATAATGGTATTGCTGGATCGAAGGTATGCATAATTTGATAGCCGTTTAGACATAGTTCCAAATTGTTTTCCAGAATGGGTGGATCAGTTCACAACTCCACCAATGCATTAGTGTCCCAATTTTCTCACATCTTCTCCAACATTTATCATTTCCTTTTCTGTCAAAGTAGACAATCTGATAGGTGTGAGGTGGTAGCTCAGAGTTGTTTAATTTGCATTTCTCTAATCACTAATGATTTACAGCATTTTTCATATGACTATTGATAGCTTTGATTTCTTCATCTGAAAACTGCCTTTTTTCTTACGTTTTTCTTATATCAAACCATCCCTGCATTCCTGATATAAATCTAACTTGGTCACAATGCATAATATTTGTAGTAAATTGTCATACTCTCCTATCTAATATTTTATTTATCATCTTTACCTCCATAATCTTTAATGGAATTGGTCTCTAATTTTCTTTCTCTGTTTTTGTTTTTCCTGGTTTTGGTATCAGCACCATTATTTGTTTCATAAAAAAGAGTATGGTAGGACTCCTTCTTTGCTTACTATTCCAAATAATTTATTTAATATTGGAATTAGTCGATCTTTAAGTGTTTGGTAGAATTCACCTGTAAATCTGGTCCTGATGCTTTTTTCTTAGGAAGGTCAACTTTTTTTTTTCTAAAATAGGTTTATTTAGATACTTGATTTCACCTTCTGTTAATTTGTCAATTTTTTTGTAAATATTCTTCTATTTCACTTTAACTGATAATTTATTGGTATATAATTGGACAAGGTAACTCCTTATAATTGCTTTGATTTCATCTTCATTGGAGGTATATTCACCCTTTTCATTTTTAATAGTAGCAATTTTGTTTTCTTCTCTCTTAAAACCATATTAACCAATGGTTTATCTATTTTTATATTTTTAATTAAATTTTTTTTAAATTGATGGCTACTGCTTAATAATACAGCTTGAGACCTCAAAATGTCAAGTCCCCCTTTATTCCTACTTTTTCCCCCCATTATTTTTCTTGATATGCTAGGTCTTTTGTTTCTCCAAATGAATATTGTTATTTTCTTGAATTTTGTAAACTATATCTTTGGTAGTTTGATTGGTATATCCTAAAACTGTACTTTATGTAGTAGTAATATTTTATTGTATTGCCATTTTTATTATGTTCACATAGCCCATTGATGAGCACTGAATATTCCACTCTCACTAATGTACAATCCCTCTCTCTATACAAACATTTTCCCACGGCCTAGAAACTGGCTGCCCTCATCTCTCCTATGCTCTAAAAAAAAGACATTTCCTCGCTTGATACATTCATGCTCACTAGCTATCATCCTATAGTTCACCTCCCTTTTGTGGAAAAACTCTGAAAGCTGGTGATATGTAATCAGAACCTCCTCTTCCTTTCCTCTTAAATAATGGCTGTGTCACATGCAATCTCAAAATTCAGCTGAAACTGCTCTCTCCCAAGCTGTTCAGTCATTGTTCAGTCATGTCTGACTCTCTGTGATCCCATTTGGGGTTTTCTCTGCAAAGGTACTGGAGTGGTTTGCCATTTCCTTCTCCAGCTCATTTTACAGAAAAGGAACTAAGGCACACAGGGTGATGTGACTTGCCCAGGGTCACACAGCTAGGATCTGAGGCCGGATTTGAACTCAGGTCATCCTGACTCCAGGCCCTGTACTTTATCCACTGCAATGCCACCCAGCTGCCCTCTCCAAAGTTACTACTGTTTTTTTTTTTTAGTTGTCCATTCTAACGATGTTTTTCTCAATCTTCATCCTTCTGGACCTCTCTGTAGCCTCTGACCCGGTCAGTCACATTCTCCGTCTTGATGACATTCTCTCCTCTCTAGGCTTTCATCATGTTGACTTCTCCTTGTTTTCCTTCTCCCTCCTTTTCAGTCTCCTTTGTTGGATCTTTGCCTGGACCACATCAAACAACTGTGGAAGACACCTGGGCCTCTTGTCTCTCTCGTGCTGCTTTGCTTAATGATCTCAGCTCCCACGGATTCAATATTCATCTCGGCTGACAATTTTCAGATCTATTCATTCAAACCTAACTTCCCTTCTGAACTTCAGACTCACATTTCTAGCTGCTTATTGGATATCATCAACTGGTTTTCTCATAAAGCTTTAAAACCAACATGGCCAAAAGTTAACTATTCCTCCTAACCCACTCCTCTTTGTAATTTTCTATTAGCCAGTTCTCGTATTTGCCAAGAAAACCCCTAACAGGATGACAAAGAGTAGTCAGAAGTGACTGAACAACAGTAACAAAACATTTATTAAGAACCTACTATGTGTCAGGCTACTATGTGTCAGGCACTGTACTAAGTTCTGGGGATACAAAAAGAGTCAAAAAAAAAACCAGTCTGCCCTCTAAGAGCTGACAATCTAATAGGTGGAGACAATGGGCAGGTATGTATAGATTGTATATGGGGTAAGTAGGAAATAATTAACAAAGTGGAGGGACTAGAATTAAGGGAGGTTGGGAAAGGCTTTCTGTAAAAGAAGGGATTTTAGTTGAGGCTAACAGAAAGTCAGGGAAGGCAGCAGGTAGAGATGAGGAGAGAGAATTCTAGGTATGAAGGACAACCAGAGAAAATGCCTTGAGTTGAGATGGAATGCCATTTTGTTCATGGAACAGCAAGGAGTCCAGAGTCATAAATGAACAAAGTAAATACAAATGTTGGAAAGCTAGCTTGGGCATAGGTCATGAAGGGCTTTAAATGCGAAACACAGAAATGTGTATTTGATCTTGCAGAGAACAGGGAGTCACTGGAGGTTATTAAGTAGGGGGATAACATAAACAGATTTGCAGTGGGGAAAATAAGTTTGGCAGCTATATGAAGGATGAATTGAAATAGGCAGGAAGTTGGGGCAGGAGAACCGATTAGGAGGCTATTGTAATAGTGATGAGGGCCAACACTATAGTTGTGGCTATGTGAGTGGACAGAAGGTCAGTGATGTGAGAGATGTCAGAGGCAAGATGTAGGTTATTTAGCAATTGAATGGATAACTGGAGTGGGTGAGAGTGAAAAATAATACCGAGGTTACAGATTTGAACAACTGTAAGGCTGGTGGTGTCCTCAATAGGAATGATGTTGTTTTTGTCGGTCAGTCATTCAGTTGTGTCCGACTCTTCATGACCCCATGGACCATAACACACCAGGCTCCTTTATCCGCCACTATCTCCCAAGGTCTGCCCAAGTTCATGTTCATTGTTTCCATGACACCCTCTACCCATGTCACCCTCTGCCATCTCCTTTTCCTTTTGTCTTCAATCTTTCCCAACATCAGGGTCTTTTCCAGTGAGTCCTGTCTTCTCATTATGTGGCCAAAGTATTTAAGCTCCAGCTTCAGTATTTAACCTTCCAGTGTGAATTCCAGTCTGAATTAATTTCTTTAAATTGACTGATTTGATCTCCTTGTTGTCCAAGGGACTTTCAAAAGTCTTCTCCAGCACCACAATTCAAACGTGTCAATTCTGCGGCACTCAGCTTTCCTTATATTCTAACTGTCACAGTCATACATTGGGACCAGAAAAACCATAGCTTTGACTATATGGACCTTTGTTGGCAAGGTGATGTCTCTGCTTTTTAGTCTGCTGTCCAGATTTGCCATAGCTTTCCTTCTAAGGAGCAAGTGTCTTTTAATTTCATGGCTACAGTGTCTGTCAACAGTGATTTTTGAGTGCAAGAATATAAAATCTGACACTGCTTCCATTTCTTCTCCTTCTATTTGTGAGGAAGTGATGGGACCAGTTGCCAAAATCTTAGTTTTTTTTTAATATTAAGCTTCAAGCCAGATTTTACACTCTCCTCTTTCACCCTCATCAAGAGGCTTCTTAACTCCTCTTCACTTTCCGCCATCAGAATGGTGGCATCTGCATATCTGACTATTTC